AATTATTTCTTTTTCTGTTTTAAAGGACCTTTCTCACCATAGTTTGTAATGCCCATAATACTATATATTTACTACTAAATGATATATAATACTAAAAGATACGCTACATATCTTTTAGGAAAAATTATATGAAATTAGTCAAGCATTAAGAAGGTTAAACCTAAGCATTGCTGTGTAGCAACTCCTTTTAGGGTTTCCTCCTTTATTTCTACAAGTCTAAAATCTGATATCCACAATTGTACCTGTTGGAATCACCCCAATCCTTCCCTCCCCTTAGGCTGGAAGAAAAGAGTAATGCAAGAAAAGAAAGAAGGAGACACCATCTACCACTTCTCTGCCTAAGACTAGAGCATCCATTTTGCTGCCTTAGTGATTTAGAAATAATTGCTACAATTTCATACTCTGCTTTCACAGATGAAGTAAAAAGTCCCAAATAAAAATGCAATGTATATATAATAATTTTAAAATAATGAAAAACTAAGATATGAGGCATCTGAAAAGGCATGAAATACAAATAATCTGCCACCAAATGCCTCCCATTCAACAGAAAGGAAGCGTGTGAAGTATGCGCGTATTCCGAGCAGTCTCCCATCAGTGCTGGGCAGCACAGAAAGATGGAGAGAAAATATTTACAATGTATGTAACAAACAAGGCTTACGTGGACCAACAGGTTATAAAACATATAACCTAACAGAAAAGTAGGCAAATGATATGAAAAGGTAATTCAAAAAACAAAAATCCTGTTGGTCAACAAGCACACAGACATGCAGCCTCAAGCCTGAAGGCTCCCTGCCCCCCCACCGACAGACACCGGTGAAGACGACCATGATGTGGGCTAGCAAGGTGCTGGGTGCAGGGAGAGCTCTCTGACAGGTCCTACTGGGGCTGGGATTGTGAAGACGGGCCCTTTGGGAGGGCAGTTTTACAGCCCCTAGCAAAATTCTATTTCATTTTCTCAAATGATACATAAATATACTCTCACCATAAAAATGACAACAGCATACAGATAGAAATGTAAAAAATAATCTATTATTTGAGCTCTTATCCGATGATTATGTTCTCTTGCTTTCTTAAAAATAATAACATTAACAAGATTAATTTCTTCTGTTAATCTACTTAGAAAAAAGATAACCTATGACAATGATTACGGTGGGTGAAATGAGTAAAGGGATTAAAAGGTATGAACTTCCAGTTGTACGATGAGTAAGTCCTGGGGAAGTGATGGACAGCACGGAGACTATACTTAATGGTACTGTACTGTGGAATTTGAAAGCTGCTAAGAGAGTAATCTTAAAAGTTCTTGTTGGTGGGGAGGGTATAGCTCAAGTGGTAGAGTGCATGCTTAGCATACACAAAGTCCTGGGTTCAATCCCCAGTATCTCCTCCAAAAATAAATAAACTTAACTACCTCCCCCCACCAACAAAAAAATAATAAAAAATAAAATAATTTTTTAAAAGCTCTTGTCATAAGAAAAAAACCTTGCAACTATGTGTAGTGATGGATATTAATGAAACTTACTGTGGTGGTCATTTTACAATATATCAAATCATTATTTTGTACACCTAAAACTAACACGTCAATTACATCTCAATTTAAAAAAAAGAAAGAAAGATAATCTATGACCATGGAAAAAAAGATATTTTATGCTGCTTTCTACCTGAAGAGAAACCATAGCTCACCTATGGACATCAATAGTTTCTATCAAACGCACGGTCACCCAGGCCCAGAGAAGAATAACATGATCACATAAAAGCATGATTCCGATGAAAAATCCAGTTCCAAGAATTAGGGTTTCCAGAGGATGTGCATATTCAGCTTCCATTCCAAAGGGAGACTGAAATAAAGAAGAACTGCTTAACACAGTGTGATGGAGAATTTTACGTGTCCACTTATTGAAGCCACGGTGCCCAGCTGCCTGGTCAAACACCAACTGAGGTGCTGCTGTGAAGGTCTTTTTCAGATGTGATTGACATTAAATCAGTAGACCGTGAGTGAAGGAGAGGACCCTCCATAAGGCAGGAGGGCTTCACCTACTCAGTCAAAGGCTTTAAAACTGAGCAAAGACTGTGGCTTACCAAGGAAGAAGGAACTCTCCAGACCGCAATACAGAAACCCTACCTGGTTTCCAGCCTGCTGCCCTGTGGGCTTCAGACCCACGGCTGCAGCATCAAGTCTCACCTGCATTTCCAGTCTGTGAGCTGCCCGACCAATTTCGGATCCGCCAGCCCCCATAATGAAAGCCAGTTCCTTAAAATAAATCTGTGTGTACAATGCTAATATACATATATATTCTAGTTTATTTATGCACATAGTTTTATAAAACTATATCCTTTCTGCATGTTACAATAGCACAGTCATCCCTCGGTATCCAAAGGGTATTGGTTCCAGAAATTCCCCTCAGATGCCAAACTCCACAGATGCTCAAGTCCCTTATATAAAACGGTGCAATATTTGCACGTAACCTGTGCATAACCTCCCACATAGTTTAAGTCATCTCTAGAGTACTTATAATACCTAGAACAATGTAAGTGCTATGCAAATAGCTATGAATACAATTTAAATGTTATGTAAATAGTTGCCCACTCAGACAAATTCAAGTTTTGCCTTTTGGAATTTTCTGGAATTTTTTCCCTAAATATATGTATTTTTAATCTTCTGACTTATTTAAGTCACTGTTTGTTTATTTTTGTTGGTTGGGGGTAATTAGGTTTATTTATTTATTTTAGTGGAAGCACTGGGCTTGAACCCAGGACCTTGTGTATGCTAGACGTGCACTCTACCACTGAGCTATTTTCCCTCCCCTCTTCCCAAATATTTTTGATCCTCAGTTGAATCCATGGGTTCAGAACTCACAGATACTGAGGGCCAACTGCATATCTAGCCACATATACAGAAATGTTAACAATAATTCTCAATAAAAATATCCTTTTGTTCTTACCAAATATCAAAAGGTCTAGGGATGTCCTTAATACAATCTATTTTAAAAACTGTCTTTGATGACTTAAGGTAAAGGCATTAAACAACTGACTCTAATTTTGGTTTATGCGTTTGAATTTGTTCTGCCAAGAAAGGGATGTTTTGCTGAGCATATCATGTAATCAGGATCAATGCGGATCAAGGAAGACTGAGATAACCAATCTGACAAAAGCTAACAACAAAGTAGTGCAGATAAAAATTACTGTTTAGTGGGGGGGATTTTTACGATGGGGGGGATTTTGCAATGAGGTGGAAATGCATTAAAACTAAGTTAGAAATTGTTTTAGAAGTTTAACGATTCACGGTTTGTTGTTTTGGGATCCCATTAAATGATCCTAACATCACTAGAGCCTCTACCAAAGTGTCAGGTACATAATTGTGTCAGGGTAGTGCTCTGGCCCCAAAGACAAAGATGAACACTTTCACGTAACATTTTTCCTTTGAGTCTCAATTTACCATGAAATTAAGATACTAAAGACAGTCTGCAGAACTGGCTTTCTGTGTGTGTGTGTGTGTGTGTGTGTGTTATATTCTTAACAATGTGACAATTTTTTTTAAAGTCCAGATTTTTTTAAAAAATGAGATTTTTGCCTCTAATAGAAAAAAATGCATTAAATAGAATTCTAACATACCTGAAACTCATGATGAACTTTATGAATATATTTATATATTCTTTTGTGGTGTAAGAGCCTGTGCAGGAAATAGTGCCAGGTGTCTTCAATCACTGCACAGCCAAAGCATCTTGCCAAGAGCATATACCTTTAGGATGAAAATACTGTAATGAGTATAAAATAACTTTGTCTTAAATGATCTAGATTTTAACCTGGGAACACCACTTGAGACACTGCATAAAACCAAATACCAGCTTGATCTAACTGGATATGTTAATCAACAAATCCTTAAAACTGCTAGATACAAGTTGGCTATCTGATACCACTTGAAGAAGGGTTACAGCCTGACCACCATACCCATTCTAATTCATTAAAAAAAAAATTCACAGGTATAAAATTGGAGTTAAACAAAATTCAAAACTTACAGGAATATACATTAATAGGAAAAGTATATATCTATACACTGTGCATCTAAATTCAGGTTATGTTGGGAACAGACAGTTAAATATATTATTTAACACAAATATTTACACTCAGATAACATCTTTGTGTCTATATGATCACAACTTTTACAAATCTCACTATCCTTTCATTTTTTTTCATTCATTTAGACTTAAAATGCAATTTATTTTTTCTTGGTATAAGCACATGTATCTGTATACATGCCTATAAAGGATGCTATGGAAACTGCTGATGGAAGAAACTCACCTTCCAATAAAATATTACATTAAAACGGAGAAACATAAAAATGGGGACATTTTAAGTTTCTACTATGGTTTACTTTTCTACATTTTACTTACTTGCAAAGTTTAGAACAAACAAACATTAACCAAACGAAGAAAGAAGATAACCATTAAGAGTATTTTAATTGGATGATACACCAGGACTTTGTATAAAGGTCAAATCTTTATCTACGTACCATCTTGGCATTCTTTCCCAATCATAAGGGATATTGAAATACTCCGTAAAATAGTAAGTTCCGCAAATCAAAGGAAGCTGGATACAAAAGTGATTAAAGAGAAGTACTTTAAAACATTTCCATTGGTTTTCCCATGTTTCTGGTTTATCCTGTGGAGAAAAATCACAATATTTAGTACTAGCCTCTGCTGTCAGTAGTTTCACCTGGAAAGTAGAAGTAAATTCCTGTTTTTTTCTCTAGTGTTTAAATGAGACCTGAATTCTATGCTATTTAATGAATCCT